CATAAAATTCGGCCCTGTCTAACGGTTGATTGCTGTCATTGGTATGGTGATCCTGGTGCCGCCTTCACTGCATTCACTGCGAGTCGACTCTTTCTGTTGTCTACTCGTAATCATCTTGTGATGACTCGCTACGGCAACAGTGATGTTTACGATGACCACAATGATTCTATCTTTATTCAACTACAAATTGAGAGGGATGGCCACATTATTACACGGGCCCGCCGTGTTACATGTTTTGAGGTTGGCGGCAGTGAAGAAGGAAATCTTGTCGTGGGGCTTTCGGATGGGACGGTGAAGCTGCTGCGGCAGGATTCAATGGAGGTTTTCTTCACTCTTGACGTTACGAAACAGTTGTACCGCATGTCAAACCGACCACCGCCGGGCATGGGGGAGTCCGGTGTGGAGGTATTGAGTGTAGCGGTTGGCCATCAATGGATGGTGTTGATGCGACCAGATGCTTTCATATGCTACGATAAGAAATCTATGGATTTGCTTGAGGAAAAAACGGTGATTCTCTCCGGTGAGAGGGCCGTGTTGTCAGCGTGCTCAGGTAACGGGTCATGGTGCATCTGGTCACCACAAAATCAGGAGCTTCTTTATTATCGAGCTCCCGTACAGATGTTTTTGGGGGAAGACAGCAAATTTGATGTTGTGCATGCCCAAGTCCCACTCCCATCACGCCTATTGGAGCCGCTTTTGCTGCCGTTTCAACAGGAAACCATTGCTGGATTCAATGGGAAAGGGGCTGATAGGAAGAAAAATAAAAAGAAGCTTGTGGCCGAGAAGCCGGTAACTCACGGTCATCCTATTAAAAGCAGTGGATATGCAAATGACGTGCCATGGAGCGTCCAGCAGCAGCGTGCCAAGCAGGTGCGTGAAAAGAATCGAAAAGGAGCTAGGCCTCTTCCTTCAGTTCCCTCGCCTTTAAGATACAAATCCTTGACGTTCCCTGGGCATGCTTTTGAACCCATGACAGCAGCAAACAAGATCCTCTTGTCTTCACCTATTCATCGAGCTATAATCACGGCAGCAGTTTTCTCTGCTGGCGGGTCCGCGCTTTTGACAGCCTCTGGTGACACCACCGCAAACTGGTTAAAGTACCCTGTTGCGAAGAACGGGGGCGAAGGCACCTTGATGGAGATTCACACCGGCCCAGTGAACACGATTGACGTCAGTCTCTCCCTTAACGCACCTCTCGTCGCAACCGGATCCTCAGATGGCGCAGTGGCGATGTGGCAACCCACAAAACGAGAAGCGCCTTACATTGTGCAAAACTTTGGCAAGGAAGTAAGGGCTGTTAAGTTTTTCTACACGGACAAATTTATTTGTTACGCCGCCAAAAACACAGTTTCCTTCTGCCGCTATGCCTTGGATGACGGTGGTGGTGAGCTGCACCGCAAACGCAATGAATCCAAGATGGAATCTGTGTTAGAGTTTAGTGCCGATTCAGCTCAGCACGTGGTTGCTTTGGACGCGATAAACTACTTTACTTCCAATATTATGGTTTGGGCAGGATCGAACAAGTCGGTTGGCATCTACGACGTTTCTGTCGGACAGAACATCCACGTCATGGAGGAGGCCCATTTAAATCCCATCCACCATGTTGCGATGGTCACATCCGGCCGTTACGCTTCGCCCAGTGCGAATGTTTTACATATGTACTTAACAGCTGGTTTGGACACCACGGTGCGACTGTGGGACATTCGCCAGCGGCGATCCGTACGGCAGTTGGCGCTTCACCGAAACACCGCGATTCCGGTTGGTGTGGCGTTTTCCCCCACTGGAGCCCTGGTGGCAGTTGGTAGCGAAAACCGAGGGGTATATATCTACGATGTGGGTTCCGGCGCGGTTGTTGATACAATAGATGTAGGTGATACACCCACCGCCCTCAGTTGGCATCCTTTGGAAAGTGTCATCGCTGTGGGCTCGGCTGCAGGCTCCATCAAACTGATGGGGCAACGTTAGACAGGAAAGAAAATGGAGACAAAATCCTGAATTATTTGGTATGAGGAATTGGAGGGCGGCAAATTGTGCATGGACCAGTCTTACTTGCTCCATTGTGGGGGCGCTGTGTCTCTTTCCCTCTTTTTTTTTGTTTTGTTTTGTTTGGGTCTTTGTGTATGCCCGGTTACTTTTTTTTATCTCTTTCCCACTCACTCTATCATTGTTTGTGCAGCTGAAGTGTTGTCTTTTCAATCTTTTCAATGGTTCTTCTTTTTTTTTTTTTTTTGTGTGTGTGTTTGTACCTGTGAGGAGATGCGTGTGTGTGATGGTTTTGTCGCAAGAGATAAACAAAATTCGAGACTTGATTTTTGTCTAGGCCTCCGTTGACTTGTCCTCCTCTCTCATTGCTGCGTGCGTGTGGAGACCCGGGGCGCACGCGATCAGGCATGGACGGCACTCCAACGAGGGCATCGACGACGGGCACGGCACCTCCCGTCAGAACCCAGCGAAGCAAGATAGCGGATAGAGTGAGGACGACACCTGCAAGGACTCTGCCACGCAGAAGGAAGGGCACAAGGTCATCCCGTGTGAGGAATGATTCAAGTGGCCCCAAGTGTGGAGTGAGGCAAGCCTCGCTGAGAATTATATTTCGATTTCTTTACCTTTTTTTCGTGGAGTGTCTTCTTCTAAGACCTTTACATGTCATACAAAAGTGGATAAAGGATTATACATCACGGGCACAAAAGGCCCGCACGGAACGGCGGTTCATCAACATTATGAACTCGACGGAGAGTCTTGATACTTGGCTTACCACTGCGTCATACCTTGACAACCATCGTGGGATGCAGGAGTGGAAAAACATGATACCGAACAAGGCAGACTGTGACGCGGAGGGCTTGAAGCATGATGCCTACTGTGCCAAGACTCTTGCCATGACTGAAAATGAACGGGCTATAGCTGAATTTCTGCGTTCGCAGCTGCATCGTACGGCTCACGGTATGACAAGTCCTTCCAATTTTCGCTATTACACGGGCACAATAAGTTCTGTGGAGGAATACAATGAGGCGATCGTGAGTCTTATAGAGGCGTTTGGTAGGTCGCGCGTATGTCGAGAAGAAGTCACCTCGGCGTTGCCGCCATGCAATAAGGCAAAAGAGGAATTCTTATTGGAAGAAGGTGCCTCATTGAACTCAAAATTTTCAACGGATATAGTTCCTAACAAATTTTCAAAAGCTGAGCATGTTGTTGATTCTGGTAACAACGAGCAGTCGAGTACAGAGAAGTGTGTAGTTGCTTCTGTATTTGATCATTTGGAGTACAAAGTAACTTCAGTGTATCTTTCCTCTCTTCTTAATTGGGCCGCAAGGCCACAATTGCCCGCTGAAAAATTTTTGACAGATGTCCAGAAGCTCAAGGTGCTGCAAGACACGTTAAGATCTTATGGACGCAGCGCTCTTATGTTAAGCGGTGGCTCGACGTTGGGTGTTTCCCACATGGGTGTTGTGCGAGCTCTTTTTGAAGCCGGACTGCTGCCCGATATTATTTCTGGCTCCTCTGCTGGTTCCATCATTGCCTCTATTGTATGTTCTATGAAAGATGATCAACTCCGTGAATTACTCTCGGACTCTATAATGAACGTTCAAAAATTGCAAATTTCTCCCTTTGACCATGGGGAATTTTTTGCCAAAATAAACCAACTTTTGCGTACGGGGGCCTTCATGAACGTGCAGAAACTTATGGAGTGCCTCCGCAACAATGTGGGGGATCTTACCTTTGAAGAAGCATATCGTCATAGTGGCCGTATATTAAATGTCTGTGTGACAAGTGAACAGTACAGTGGTTCTCACATAGATCGGCATATGCTTCTGAACTATGTTACATCACCGAATGTCGTGCTCTGGAGTGCGGTGAGTGCTAGCTGCGCCCTACCCGGACTCTTCACGGCGGTGCAACTTATTGAGAAGTTACCTGATGGTAGTTTCCGACGCTTTCTTCCAGGACAACTTTGGTGTGATGGAAGTCTCGCTCAGGATCTCCCGCGAGAGAGTCTCGCTTCTTTGTTTAATGTAAACTATTTTATTGTGAGCCAGGTGAACCCGCACATTATACCATTCCAGCGAAAACCTGTCTCTCCACTTGTGTACAAGGAGCGTCGGCCAAGAAAGATTCTCAGCTCTCTGTGGTACGGGTGTTTCCGAGAGATTCGCCGTTGGATTTTGAAACTGTTTGGTATCGGCGTTCTCTCCACAACTGGTCGATGGGAGTTGCCCTATCTCTTCTTGACGCAGCGGTACGACGGCGACATTCTTATTCTACCGATAGGAAATGTTCTGCATGCCGCACCTGACTATTTCAATATTGTGGCAAATCCAAGCTCTGAGTACATTGCATTTGTCACCAGCAGGGCACAGCTGAGGACATGGCCACACCTCAATCGGATCCGTCACTCTACAATGATTGAACGAGCCCTTTTCAGAGAAATTGATTTGTTGAAAGAGCGCGTTAAGGATGAAGCTGTAGCATTGGAATAAAATAACGTGCTGTCATTTCCTTGTTTGTTTTTCTCTTGTGTTTTTTTTTCTTTTTTTTTTTTTTTTTTTTGAGGGCCTTTGTTGCTGGAACCGTGTCTGACATTGGCCTCAATGAGTGCAACTGTCTATGCCAAGATTTCCCTCCAATGTGTCTTTTTTTTGTTATGCGTATGTGTTTGTTTTTATGCGCGATATGTGGCTTTTGTGTTTATTGGCGGGGTTTGTTGTTGTTGTTGTTGTTTTCCTTTATTTTCTTTCCTCTCATTTCTCCATTGACCACCATGACCGAAAATTACATGTTGAACCAGAAATACGTACAAATATTGGACACGATCTAACTGAGAGAAGAATGGTTGACGACTCCGGCCAATTTGAGGTGGTGTTTCTTCCTGGAGAAGGGGCGTTACTTTCACCCCGCCCCGTCATGGTGACAGTGCGCTGCTCACATAACCGAGTAGAGGAGCCCTCAGTGGATCGCGATGCCATAGATAATACATGGGAGTTCCTCGTCAGAGGCAGCTGCGGTGGTCAAGAGATGAGGAAGGGAGAAATGTATAACGGCCTCAAGTTTCGGTTGTATGATGTGGAGCAGGAGGGAGACAAATGCCACATAAAACTCGGCATAACGGACTACAAAACGAATATTGGAACCACGAGGAATATCGGTGTCTACACCGAACTTGCGAATTTGCGGAATACAACGGTGGAGAATTATCTTGCCAATGCACTTGGCGTAGAGTGCTTCACCATCACGTCTGATGGCAAAGGAGTTTTATTTCGCCGATCGGAGGTTGTTGGCGAGTATCCGAATTATTTTTGTTTTCCAGGCGGTCATCCTGAGCCGGGGGAACTCCTTAATGTACAGCAATTGCAATCCGCTTGTAATAACTCTCTGAATGGAGGATCACTTGTCGAAAATGCAACGAAATGGTTTGAGTGTGTGAACTCCCACGTTCTCACAAGGCTTCTTTTTGAAGCGGCAGTGAGTGAAGTGTCGGATGAACTTGGTGTGGATCCCGCGTTGTGCGTCAACCAGGGTATTATCGGTTTCATGAAGAACACGCACAGCAGGAAGGCAGACGCCTGCTTTTGGATTGAGTTGAAGCAGCCCGCCTCGGAAATAAAGGCTTGTTTTGATCTCCGTCGTGGCTCAGACGCGTTTGAATCTGTTCCAGGCTCCATGCTATTTGTCGATTTAGATCGCATTCGGGACAGGGAGGCTGCATTACGATTTGTATCGGAGGAATTGGAGGGTAAATTGGCACCACCGTCTCTTGCGTGTCTGTTGTGGGCGGTAAATCGCCTCCGAAATCGTTCTTCTTTCGGAGTAGAGAAGTGAAACAAAAAGAGAAAAAAAAAACTGGGGAGGAAATGAAGAAAAACTTTTATTGTATTTTGCGAATATTGGCAATTATTATTATTATTTTGTTGTTGTTGTGTTGAGGGGCTTCTGCCACGGACAATTGGGATGTGTGCAAGAGAAAAAGAGAGGGATGCGCGGTGATCTTTGATCTTCCCCCTTTTGACTGTCACGGCAATATCATTGTGCCAACGGCTGCAGGAATTCTTTTTTTTTTTTTTTTTTTTTTTTTCTTTTTTTACTTGGCATTTGGGGAAAACTCGAAGTTTCTTCCTTTCCATTGGCCGGAAGCTTTATTTTATTTTATTGTTGGGGGCAGTCAACGGGATGGGGATTTTTTTTGCCTGTGACGACGGGGCGTTAACGGGATTCTGCTGCGGATAAAGAGGGTGGAGACTGATGGCTTCACTGACGACGTCCCTTTTTTCCAGCAATGAAGCTTTTTTTTTTGTTTTGTTTTGTTTTTTTTTTTTTTTTTGGTTTCACATGAGAGTAACCATTTGTTGTGGTAAACACAAACCGATACGCACCCCCCTCACAAGTGGTTTTTACTTCTCCATCTCTTTCATATATAAATGTCTATATAAATGTCTATATACATATTACGTATTACACGTTTTTTTTTGTCTATTCTGTGCCTTTCTACTTCTCATCGCTCTTTCACTCTCTTACATGTATGTATGTATATGTATAGTCTCTCTCTTTCTCTCTTTGTGTGCGTGTGTGTTGTTTTCACAGTTGGAGAGAAAGCAGCGGAGTCGAAGGGGCGCGGCACCACCATTTTTGTGAAGAAGTACTCTGGAGATAAGCAGGGCGTTTTGGATACCAGGGACCTTATCCCGTCTGCACAAATAATGGAAAACTACACCGTGATTGGAAAGATTGGTGGTGGTGCCGAGGGCATTGTGTTCCGCGTAAGGCATGAGCCAACGAAGAAGGAATTTGCCATGAAAGTGATTCGTTGCCCCGATCACTCTAGAGTGAATTCAGCTCTGAAGGAAATCAAAGTTTTGTTGCATCTTCGTCATCGACACGTTGTTTCATATGTAGATTTTTTCCTTTTATTTCACAACGACACGATACGACATGAATTTGTTGCGGATTATAAAAATGAGGCGCAACTCTCCGAGTCCACACGAAGCCTTGGATTCTGCAGCACCGGTTGTCTGGGAAGCAACGGCAGCCCAGTTGTTAGAAATGAAGTTCTCTCAGACGTGTTTTGTTTCCATCCGTCTGAAGTTTGCGTCTGTCTTGTGATGGCGTTGTGTACATCTGGCGACATGCAGGACACCATAGAGGATGCGAGGCGACGTCTTATGGACGTAGGCTCCCATCCTATCCCAGAGGCACAGATTCTCTCATGGATGGAGCAATGCGCCTCCGCTCTTGCCTTTATTCATGAGCAGGGCTTCCTGCACCGTGACTTAAAACCCACAAATGTTTTCTTTGATGATGACAAGGAAATCAAAATTGGGGATTTTGGTCTTGCAGCGACCGTTGGTCTTGGTCGTCAAAGCATCGTGGGAACGCCCTT